CTACGATTGTTCGTGTGTAGGTAAAAAATATTTCGATGTCTAACTAGAGCAGGGAATGAGACTATACCCAGTATCCTGTAGGACCCTATATGTTCAATCAAAATGTGTCCTATAGTTAATATGCCTTAGATAAGAGTTCCATAGGGCATCCGGTAGGAGATATTCGGAAGTGTTTTAAGGCACATAAGTATACAGTATATATAACAGGTATCTCCGATAAAAACATTCCAGATGGTAAAGTGGTGGACACACTGGTGTTTGCTAGTACTGACTACGAAAACTACGCCGTCACTTACGAAAAATCACCGAGTAGTCAATATCCAAGAATGATCACTTTATGGTCTCGCACCAAAACTCTACCCAGCAACCTCTCAACCAAATTCAAAGAAGTCTTGAAAGAATCGTTTTGTCTCGATCTCGACAATCCCACTCTTGGGCGATGGGTTTTCACAGTGAGGCACGTCGAAGGTAAGAAGCACAATCATGTGATACGTTTTCATAGAAACCCATTCACAGTCAGCCCGTTTCACACAAAAAAAGTAAAATCCCAAAACTGATCTTAAATTTAAGAACACAATCATCGTCCACTTTGACACAAAACAAATCGGAACATTGTAGTAGTCCGAGTGAAAGTAAAATATTCTTTTATAACAGCTCGCTCCTTATCAGCATAAGTGCTCCAGTCTATGCCTTAAATGAGTCCCATTCTATTTTTCCGTTCCAGCCTGCCCGTTTTGAGACAAGGCATAACGTAAGGCAAAATGGGATGTGGACAGAAAATGTCGACAATATGCCACAATTTTTTGTAGTCGATATTCATTTTGCCTTTAAAAATAAATTCGAAATAAAAACGTGCAATGCGTACTTCTTGATGCCAGCTTTATATCTAGACACGCACGCACACACGTAGACACTCGCTATATATTTGTAATCCCGGAAATTTTAACAGTTCTCCCCTGGGCCCTGCCCTAGATATATCGGTAAAATGGTGCACCAAACTCTGCTCTGTTTGCGTATATGGTACTTTGAGAAGATGGCTTTGCAAAACAGCCCTTCATGTTCTCAGCCTATTATCTGACTTATCTTACACGGTAAGTTATTGTGGGATGATTACGTTTGGCAAGAATAAATGTCCGGTCAGCCTGAGAACGAAATTGAAATACCAAGCGGTGAAGTGTGCTTTAATCGAGAGGGTAACCCCAACGGCATATGTGGGACGAAAAAATAATCTGGAAACAACAGTCGCTTCTTTAAGCGAAGGGCGCAATGGTGGGTCATGCATGTTAAACACAGGGCTATGAATTTTCCCAACTAACACACTTGATATTCCTGAATATCCTATAAAAGCTGCCGAGTTGTAAGTCTAACGTTATAATAATTTCGTATTTTGGCATGGCGATATCTTTAGAAATGCACTGTTCATTTAATTTTGGCTGCAACAGAGACATATATCAGTCATCTGGTTCATAGAAAGAAAAAAAATTGTACAGTGATCGATGATGTGGAATACATAAAACATATAAATATATAGGATACAGAACTGTAGTGCCCAAACAGTCATGTACAATATCTTCCCACAGATCAGGATAATAAAGATTAGCATCAGCCAAGAGAGCAATCGGGAACAGAGGAAGATCAGAGACATTTGCGAGACAATTATGACAAACAGGCACTGACGGGCCGTACATGTGGCGAAACTTCAAGACAAACCACTGGACCACAAGAACAACGGAGTGGATTCCGAGAATGGCCAGATGGAGGGACTATATACCACCATCTGGGACCCACCTAGCAAAACCAGGCCAAGCCAATGCAAGGGCCATTACCTGCAGAGGGAGGTGCCCTTCCATCACGGAGTGTCAGTTGGCCCTGGATTGATTGATTGGTTAATTGATAGATATAATATATAGAAAAAATAATTCCCTGATGGAGATATCCTGTTAGACGTCAAAATATTGGTAAATCAATTCCAAGACATATCAGATCTATTGGAAGCAAAAAAGACAGAACTGAAAAACATCAGACAGAAGAAACTAAAAGGTATCCTTTTGCGAGCAAAAGCAAGGTGGGTGGAAGAAGGTGAGAAGCCGACAAAATACTTCTGTTTTCTAGAATCTAGACACTACGTGAACAAAACTATACAAAATCTAGAACTGCAAGACGGAACTGATCAAAAGGAAATACTTAATGAAGCTAAATTATTTTATGAACGTCTGTATTCCTCAAAAATAGAATGTGTAGAAAAAACTGATCTTCGAGCCTTTCTTGACCAATTTAACCTGCCTAAATTAAATGAGGCCGAAAAAGAACTGTTACAGGGAGAAATACCCAAGACAGAACTTCTTACAGTCCTAAAGAAAATGAAGAATAACAAATCTCCGGGCTCCGACGGTTTTACAACTGAGTTTTACAAATTTTTTTGGTCAGACTTGAAAGAATTTATGATCCGAACGGTAAATGAAGTATTTCGTAAAGAAAGGTCACCAACTAGCCAGAAACTCGGCATTATTACTTGTATCCCGAAAGGGGGCAAGAATAGAAATTTTTTACAAAAATGGCGACCTATAACATTATTAAATGTATTTTATAAACTAATATCCGGATGTATAGCTGAACGAATGAAAACTGTATTAGACAAACCAATTTCCCCTTCTCAATCTGGGTTTTTAGCTGGCCGCTATATAGGAGAAAACACAAGGTTGATATATGACCTAATGTACATCACAGAAAAACGAAATATTCCAGGCTTGCTTGTTTTGATTGATTTTGAAAAGGCTTTCGATTCGGTTGACTAGGATTTTATAATTAATGTACTGGACTTCTTCAATTTTGGTGACGCAATTAAAAAATGGTTTGGGATATTAAGTTTCGACTGCAGCGCCTCCATTAGTCAGTGCGGTCATTTATCCGAATACTTCAGAATCTCAAGAGGATGCCACCTGGGTGACCTCCTCTCCCCGTACATTTTTATTTTATGTGCTGAAATACTTCCGTTATTGATCAAGAATAATAGTGATATTACTGGTATAAAGATAGAGAATACAGAATTTAGAATATCACAATATACTGACGACACTACCCTCACGGCAGCAGACTCATTTCTTGCAGCATTTTATACACTTGATTTTTTTCAAAAATATCAGGTTTTAAAATTGGTCAGACATGTTTGAATTTAATTAGCTTCAGCAAAATAATATATTGCACTTTTTTCTTGCTTAATAATCTATTGTAGTTTTGGTTGAATACATTGTGGTATCGATCTTTATTATTATTATTATTATTATTATTATTTTTACACCTATTGTTCATGAGATTATAAACTTATATTCGCGTGTTTGAGAGAGAGAGTGTGTGTAAGAGAAAGAGTGAGTGTGCATTTACCATACTTAGGTATATGTACATTCTTGTACTGAAATTTTTCAATAAAAAAATGTCTGTCACGCCTAGTAAAGCTGTAAGGGGGTAATTATCTTTACCCTCTAGCTTTTCGGTAGAGACTAAGGGAGTTCTAGATGGATCAATCTAGGCATGGGAACCGAGTCATAGCCTCTCCACTGATAACAATCTTTTTCAANTTCATCAACAAAGATTTTACTTTACATTTAAAAGCTGGCAAACATTCCAGAAAAAGTACAATTATAGAAAGACAAGAGCATTTTACATGGTGATCTTTCAAACCGCAGCAGTTTTACTTAACAGGGGTGAAGATAATTTGCTTTGGGCTGAAATGAATTGAAGAAATTCTGGAAAGAAGTTCTCGACATTCTACTGGCATTTTATCTAGCACCTCGGATATAAATTCTTATAGATGTGCAGTCGGCTTACCAAGTACCTTCATAAAGTTGAAATATCAAATGATTTTTCAAAGGAAAACTTTGTTAAATGTAGGACTTTGAAATGCTTAGTAACTACCAGCATGTTTTTACATTTGCAGACATTTCCAGACAGAAGGCCTTTATTTCACACTAAGCCGTTTTGTGATGTATATGTATATTGGTATCTTTGCAAGGGACGGATTGAGGCAGTTTTCTGGGTCTTCTGGAAGACGGCCAGATTTTCAAGTTTACAAATTGCGACGTCAGAGTAAATTTTATTTTTGCTATATACAATGTGTGTCCTTTTCCCGTGGGAGATAAACTATACTTTAAAAATGGTATTTATCTGTTAAATTTTCTCAAATGTAAAATGTACCTTATATCAATGGCAGAATAAAAAGCAATTTAGTGAGACTCACCAGAGAGTTCGACCGATCTAGATGGATCGATCTAGGCATGGGAGCACAGTCTTAGTGTTTTTTTTTTGGAGGGTGGACGGCCATGACTGCCATGACATTTGACCAGGAAGGTTGTCAGTCACTTTTCACATAAAGCTGTAAGTAATGTATGTAAAATACCAGTACGAGTTGCAAAGTCGCAAGTGTTTTACCTGGCCTAAACCGTTCTCTGATTGGCTACTATATGAATATGCTGCTCTTGCGATATTTTACTCATATATGTACTTGTGGTCACATTACCCATGTCTTAGACGAGAGGGAATGAGCGGAAACCCCTGCCAAGAGACAACACCTGCCTAACACGTGCCTAATCTGTGAAAGAGGAACTATCCAAGATATTTAAAGATATTCATATTAGCCGCCGGGGCGTGGGAGAAACGGGGTCATTGTGGGGCTAATTTTCTTGCTTTTGCTGTTAAAAATTCAGTTGGAATGACCTATTTTTACAGTGTTGTTTTTCAGTGAAAACTAACTGAACGGTTTTCAAATTCGGGATTTTATTTTAATTTATGAAGCGATTTACGGCTTATGAAGTGATTCAAGTCAACTTGATCACTTTTTTTTGGCAGCTCCTTTTGTTTGCTGAATCTTACGAAAAAACTAGCAGACTGTGGATTAAATTTGGTCATAAAACGCCAGTCTCTAGTATAGTCTCTCCAACAGTTCAATTTCTAACAAGAGATTGAAATAGTAAAGTCTCCATCCATGTTTAGAAAACCGTATACACCTATTGCATACGTCCCACTGGGGAGACTTCCTTGAGGAATCTGGAGCAAAGAGGTACCACCTGAACAGCCGTTTCCGTCGTCATTGAAGTCCAAACTGTAATCGAAATGGACGTTGCATGTCTGACTTCCACCGGATACAACATCATAAATGAGCGAATCACAGTGAAACACAGACAGCATGGTGTCGTAGTCGGCGGTGTTACATGTGGATATAATGATATCACTGTTTCCAGGGTAACTGATGTAATATCGCAGTGGGGCCAGATTATCTTCCACATATTGGTAACTGTCGGAAAAGGTGTAAGCTGTACCATCACACATGACTTTTTGAACATCCGCTGTAAGTAAAAGCCAATATAACCCACCTTAATTCCCAAAATGCAGAACATAGTGTTATCTTATCTTATCAAAGTACTTCCAAGTACTTTACCCTCCAAAAAAAAAAAAAAAAAAAAAAAAAAAAACTTGTTTAAGCTTTTCTCTTTAAAATTCGTGAAATGTTTGAACCATTATCCAAAAGCACACTTTATGTGTTGGAATATAACTTGATATCCTGTAAATATACGTTGACATATATTGCAAAAGCCAAAGGGTCCAGAATAACATACATATCATATACATAATTATAGCTGAAACGCAAACTAATAAAATTAAATAAAAGTTCAGATAGGAAATAGCAGAAGCCATACTCACGACATCGTGTTGTAAGTGCAGCTAAAAAAATAAAAGAGATATATTGAAAAGTTACAATAACAAGAAGTTGCTGTATTTGAGTAATATGATTTGTTTTTCTAAGCAGCAAATTACACAACTCTACATCAAGTAAATTTTTCCTGTTTTTTTAAATCTTGAACTGTGACATACACGGCATTTATTGGCAAAATATTTTTTAAAACGCGTCACATCAGAGTTTATTGATTTTCAAACTGTTGATAGGGATTGATAAGCTTATTTTATGCCTAGTTTTATCTTATACTTACGACATGGCGGTACATCTAGGAAGAAAAAGGGAAAGTAACATTATAAACAGAAAGCACCCCTTGAATTTTAATTATTCAAAAACAGTTGTTATGGAAACATTGGCATCGAAGATGCGATGACAAGTGTGTTTGATTTTTTGATAGGTATAATTTATGCGATTAAAGAAATGGAGCCATTCGGATAAAAGACAGAATAGTGGAAAAGGATTTACATCAAATTACCAATAGAAAAAGATTTCCAACACTTCTTCCGCAAAGAAAAATTATCTAAAATGTTCGATACATTATGATTTGTATTCATATTCATTAAGATAACGCTGTCTTATCAAAAATGCACCGCTGTGCACTTGCTTATTCTCTAGGTTCACTGATTTATCAGATAAGAGGCGAAAGAGTACCTTTATACAACAATTCACTTTTGCTGAGGTAACCTTTTGCCTAGCTTCAACCCGAAAACTGGGATGGCCTCTTTGCAACCCCGCAAACGAAATGTGTGCAAATTGTTTGTAAATAATAACTTTTGCTGACTCGGTACGTCACAATTTCAGGGTGATGAATCTTGTTGAATATATGATATATATTTTTTATCCCTAAGGCCATTTCATTCAATACAGACAACAATTTGTTACATTGTTAAAATTATTAGGATAGTGGGGTTATATAATAAAAGTGGCCTTGTTTTGCCAAAATTCGAACAATCGCTATTTCTTGTTGCCTTCTTTTTTGCTATGAATGGGACCTTGAAAGTTAGTGGTACACTGGAATGGAGGAGACATAAAATTGACTTTTGCTGAGGTAACCTCTTGAATTATCTCAGCTTCAGGTTGAACTTAGCCAAATGGTGACCAAAAGAAAAAGCCTATTTCCACTTTGTTCCATGATCATGGATTTTCATGGTATTTGTTAATAAAAGTACATGGAAATGGGGTTGGACAATTTTTGACCAATATTGTATGAACTTATTATAAAGTTATTATTTATATCATAATTGAAATTGTTTGCCTTTAATATTTCGCTGTCTAACTAGAGCAGGGATGAGACGATAGCCAAGTAAATATTCTCTAACCAGGAGATATACTTGCCCCTCCCCCTGAAACATTCCCTTACCGAAATTTCTTACCGGGTCCCATAGGACGTCCTAAATTCTCCTATAGTAGTGTCCTGTAGGACCCTGTAAGTTCAATCAAAAAGAGTCCTATACTACATATGCCTTAGATAAGAGTTCTATGGGGCATCCGGTAGGAGATTTTCGGAAATGTTTTAAGGCACAAGATTTTATATATATAACAGAATTGTTACCCATGTTGAAGTCTTGTCGCGCCATCTACAGGAGATAATTGCAGTACGCAGTAGACGCACACGCTGTTAGGCACGTGATCTTTAACGAGCACACCCTAATGCTAATTGTCTGTGAATTTGGGGACATTTGATGGCGTCTTTTCAATTTTATAGACATTTCTTTACATCTGCAGAAGTCACAGTGAAACAGTGGATTTGAGGGGGTACCTCTTATAAATTTGACTAAATGGTATAAAATATGTATATNTTTGCTATGAATGGGACCTTGAAAGTTAGTGGTACACTGGAATGGAGGAGACATAAAATTGACTTTTGCTGAGGTAACCTCTTGAATTATCTCAGCTTCAGGTTGAACTTAGCCAAATGGTGACCAAAAGAAAAAGCCTATTTCCACTTTGTTCCATGATCATGGATTTTCATGGTATGTGAAAAGAGCGCACATTTATTTATTTATTTATTTATAAATATACCTCTGTGCCAATAAAACAGAATGTTTGGTAGTGTCAAAGAAATCAGAAACACCAGAAAGCAATATCACATGTCAGAATGCCAGCGTCAAACAATCCTTCATGCTTTCTAATTTCAATGTAAATTTTTGGTAAACATTGGTTCAGTTCAGATATCTCAAACGCCTCAAAAAATAGTTTTGAAACACAAATTATGCCTCTAATTTCCAAAATAGTTCATGATTTAAGCAAAAGTGCACTATATCCTTACCCTTCAAAGAGGGCCATGTGGAAGACGAGTGCACGCTTAGCATGTTTTACACCCTTTAAATTAGGTTCATTATTTTTATCATTATCATAATTATTATTATCACTACAAAACATTTTTGGCTCTACAAGCCTTTATTGTAACACCCCTTGTATTTACTTAAGTATTTTACATAAAAAGAAAGAAAAAAAAACTAATTTGCAAAATATAGATCTTTATAGTGTTTATAACGTATCTAATCCCCTTAAAGATAGTGTAGAAGCAGAATTATAAGCTTCTTTGTAAAAATTGTATAAAACGCACTGTTTTTTCACAAATGCTGAGTTGCGATTCACATATCTTAATGCAATAATAATAATTATAATTCATTAGGTAAAATTGCAACCCTAAGGTTGAAGTTGTACAAAGAATGTTTAAAAGAAAATTGACAATAATAATAAGCTTTAAATTATAAAACAATAAATTATTCCTAAAATATTACAAATTAAAAAAGCGTTCATATATTACTACAAGTTAAAGAGGCAATGATTAATAAAAGAATTTTTAAAACGTTCCGTCTTCACTTCTGGTTGTAAGAATTTTGTGTTGTTTCGTAAAGGGCGAGTGTTTCTTTCAGGCAATAAATGACCCAACTTTTCACAATTTTGTAATTTTGTATAAAACCTCTGATACAGCAAATGTCTATGTTTGTCTAGGGTGTCGATGTTACAAACTTTTAAGGCATCATCATAACTGAGACCAGGGCAAATAATCCTTTAGGCTCTCTTTTGAACTGACTCTAGACATTCAGATTGCTCAGCAGTCACACCTGGTCCCCCCACTGCACACGTATATTCTAAAACTGATCTTGTAAAAACTGATCTTTGAAATTCATAACAGCAGTTCTCACCTGGAACGCAGTTCTGGGAGTCTGGGTCAGAAGGGTCCATGATGAATCCTTCATCACACACACATGACCATTTATTTGGACAAGGTAAGGCTTTACCTTCTTCATTGGTCGTATTCTTGCAGTGTGTCATGTTGTTTTGTTCTGTCTTGCAACATCTTGAGTTATCCCTGCACACAGGATGACTCTTGCGAGTTGCTGTAAAATAAGTTGGTCAATGAATGGTTTCATTCTAGGAAATAGTAACAATGTTAATTGGAATGTGTAAGTTTGTCAAACTTGAAGTATATACTATAAATTATTCATGTCAATAACAATAGAAGGCCAAATCGTAGTTGAATAATAGTATTATGTTTATGAAACAGAGATTGATATAATCTTTGTCAAACTAAATAGAAACGGTCAAAAATAAACAAATAAATAAATAAATAAATAAATAGATTAATAAATTAATTTAAAAACCAATTTTCTTTGCACTGTGTAAACTTGGTCAAAGCACCATATACAAACATTTTCAAAGGTTTCACTACCTCAGTGTTAGCGTACATTGCGCATTAATTTTTTTTATTTTGAAATCAGTCGTGAAAATTTAAAATAGCCATTTTGAAATTAAATGGGAGTGAACACATACCTTTAAAAGCACCATCAACAGCATACGCACATAGTGACAAAATGGACATTAGAACAAAAAGAAGCACCGGGCTGTTCATCTTCACGTTCGGTTCTAAAGCTGCTTCTGCTGATGAAGTCAGGGAATGTGGATCCGTTGAAGGGCTCAATGGACTGAACCTTATATAGGTTATTCCCAATGTTTGCCGTTACTGTTTGAGAGATTTTAACCAATCATATACTCGGAAAATAACATTACATAAGTTTATACCTCTGTCCTCTGTACTGCTGTACATAGTAATTGTTAGTTGCTGATATTGGAACTATTTTACGTATAATCTTTCCTGGCCCAACAGATGGTTATAGGAATAGATCTGAGTATCTCTCTCTCTGCAATATTTAGTGCCATTACGAAAAGAGGAATAGCTGATGCGAGATATTTTGCCATTTCAAGGTAGGGTAAGAACTCGTCAAGGTTTGCCCTTTTGACCCTCTATATAAAAATTTAAGTAAAGTATCTTCACAAGTATAGACAAAAACAAACACTCCAGTATCTTCACGAAACAGTTTAGGAGGCTTAATATCGTCACCATTACTTTCAACGATGGAATTATTGATAATTTTGGCTATACCGTAAGTCCTATCAGTGCCAGTCTTTGCGAGTATTTGGATCGATCTATCTCCCTGGGGAGTCTTACTAAATTGTTATCAACTAAACCGGCTTTAATGTCTGTCACGCCTAGTAAAGCTGTTAGGGGGTAATTATCTTTACCCCCCTAGCTGATTTGGCAGAGACTCCCTAGGGAGTTCTAGATGGTTCGATCTAGGCATGGGAACCCAGTCATAGCCTCTCCACTGATAACCATCTTTTTCAAGAATGTGCGTTGTGTTTTGTGTTAGACCCCGTACGTGAGGTAAATGTTGATCCTTGCCTTCTCATTCCCACAGCTGCCCACCGATGTGCCAGGTCCTCTAACCCCCCCCCCCCCTCACCCCGCGTAATGTACTAATTCTTAAATCACGGGTGGATTGAGTCTGTCTGCTGGGTCTTCCTGAAGGCGGTCAGATTTTCAAGTTTAAATTGACGAGATCTAAATATTTCTATCGATAGACGATGAACAAAAGAAAATACATCAACAACACATTCCCACAGCTGCCCTCCCATGTGCCAGGATCTCCAACCTCCCCTAATACTTAATTCAGGGGTGGATTGAGGCTGTCTGCTGGGTCTTCCAGAAGGCGGGCAGATTTTCAAGTTAACATTGACGGGTGTCTAATTTTTTCTGTCGATAGACGATCAGAAAGTGAGAATAGATCAACAGATATTTTACTTTACATTTAAAAGCTGACAAACATTCCAGAAAAAGTACAATTATAGAAAGACAAGAGCATTTTACATGGTGATCTTTCAAACCGCAGCAGTTTTACTTAACAGGGGTGAAGATAATTTGCTTTGGGGTGAAATGAATTGAAGAAATTCAGGAAAGAAGTTCCCGACATTCTACTGGCATTTTATCTAGCACCTCGGATATAAATTCCTATAGATGTGCAGTCGGCTTACCAAGTACCTTCATAAAGTTGAAATATCAAATTATTTTTCAAAGGAAAACTTTGTGTAATGTAGGACTTTGAAGTGCTTAGTAACTACCAGTATGTTTCTAAATTTGCAGACATTTCCAGACAGAAGGCCTTTATTTCACACTAAGCCGTTTTGTGGTGTATGTGTATATTGGTATCTTTGCCAGAGGCGGATTGAGGCCGTCTTCTGGGTCTTTTGGAAGACGGTCAAGTTTACAAATTGAGACGTCAGAGTAAATTTTATTTTCGTTATATACACCAGCTGTGCGTCCTTTTTCCGTGGGAGATACACTGTACCTTAAATGAGGTATCTATCTGTTAAATTTTCACAAAATGTTAAATAAGAAGGGAGGGGGGGGGGGGTCAGAAAAAATTTGAAAAAAAATATTGACTGGTTGACTCACAGTTCTTAACCGTGCCAAATGGCACCGTTCGTCCTGTAAAACACATAAAAATTTAGGGGACCGCTGAGGGCGAGGTGGGGAGGGCCGGCTTCGCATCCGCCTTCAAATAATCTTGGATCCACCCCTGCTTGTATGCTTTCTGAATGTGTCAATTATCATGCTGATACTCGATAGAAATATTGCAGCATGCCACTGCAGTCCCATTTTCGAACAGGGGTAATCGAATTTCAATATAGGCCTAGGGACCATTCCCACAGATATTTGGATCGATCTATCTGGGGAGTCTCACAAAATTGTTATCAACTTAACCGGCTTAAATGTATGTCACGTCTAGTAAAGCTGTAGGGGGGCAATTATCTTTACCCCCTAGCTGCTTCGGTAGGCGTGCCACACTTAAAGCCGGTTAGTTGATAGCAAGTTAGTGAGACTCCCCAGGGAGTTAGACCGATCTAGATGGATCGATCTAGGCATGGGAACCCAGTCTTAGTGGTTTTTTGGAGGGTAGACGGAGGTCAGCCATGACATTTGACGAGGAAGGTTGTCAGTCACTTTTCACATATAGCTGTAAGTAATATATGTAAAATAGCAGTACGAGTTGCAAAGTCGTAAGTGATTTTTTTTGGCCTATCCGTTCTCTGATTGGCTACTACATTATTTCACTCATACATGTACTTGTATTCACATTACCCATATCTTGGATGAGAGAGAATGAGCGGAAACCCATGCCAAGACACAACACCTACATTTTACCAGTCGATAATTCTATGTTATAATAATTGTTATACATAGATAATAATGGTACAGAGAATCTCATATTATCTGACAACTAAAAACATGTAACAGGAGTGTCAGTTAGCCCTGAAGAGATTGATTAATTGGTTAACTGATTGATGTAATATATAGAAAAAATTAACCATATATAAATACTACAAAAGTTTGGACGATAGAACGAACTGTGCATGTGCAGAATTGATTGATATGATATTTCAATATTGGATTCTTTTTTGCTATTAAATTGTTTTAAGGAAACTGGTTGAATTAATATTTTAATACTGATTGAACTCTTTAATGGCATTGAGCTATCTTAAAAAAGCAGTTTAGATTTAATATTTTAGTCAGTGAATTTTTCTTTTATGTTTAATTGTCATAATGTAATTGGGCTTTTGTCACAATTTGAAAACTTGCCGGTATATGTAAAATCCAACTTTTGGATGCAAGATATAAAATTTCAATACTAATTGGATTCTTTTCTAAATTGAACTATTTTAAAAAGCAGTTTAGATTGAATGTTTTAATCAGTGAATTCTTCTTTTATGTTTGATTGCCATAATGAATTTTCGCCCTTTGAACGCTTACATGTAAAATCCAACTTTTGGTTGCAAGAATAAACATTATTATTATTCATAAAATCGGGGGCAATTTTCCTGCTCTTGCTTTTATAAATCCAATTGGAAGGACCCTTCTTACGGTGTCGTTCTTCAGTTAAAACTATAACTAAACGGTTTTCAAATTAAGAATTTTATTTTAATTAATGTAGTGATTAATGGCTTATAAAGTGATTCAACTCAACTTGACCACTTTTCTGGCAGCTCCATCTGTTTGCTGGCTTTTACAATAAACTTAACACACTGTGGATTAAATTTGGTCATAAAATGTCAGTCTCTAGTATAGTCTCTCCAACATTTCAATTTCTAACAAGAGATAGAAACCGTAAAGCTTCCATCCAAAAAGAAAACCCCATATACACCGATTGCATACGTCCCACTGGGGAGACGGCCTTGCGGAATCTGGAGCACAGAGGTACCACCTGAACAGCCATTTCCGTCGTCATTGTAGAACAAACTGTAATCTTCATGGACGTTGCATGTCTGACTTCCACCGGATACAATATTATACATTATTGCATCACAGTCAAATAAGGCCAGCATGCTGTCGTAGTTGGCGGCATTACATGTGGAGATTATGATATCACTGTTTCCGGGGTAACTGATGTAGTATCGCAGTGGGGCCAGATTATCTTCCACATATTGGTATCTGTCGGAAAATATGTGATTTGTACCATCACACATGACTTGTTGAACATCCGCTGTAAGAAAAAATCCAATATAACCCACCTCAATTACCAAATTGCAAAATATAGTTATCTAATCTTATCCAAGTACTTAATTTAAACCCTTACATATAAAATATTGAAACTTGTTCAATCTTTTCTCTCTAGTATTCGTGAGTTTGAACCATTATCCAAAAGCATACTTTATGTGTTGGAGTATTATTTAATTTTCTGTAAATATACGCTGAAATATATTGCAAAAGCCCACAGGTCAGATTATCATACATATCATATACATAATTATAGCTGAAACGGAAACTAATACAATTTACAGATTGGAAATAACGGAAGCCACTTTGTTCTAAACTTGACGTCATACTTACGACATTGAGTTGTAATTGCAGCTGAAATATAAGAAAGGTATATAAAAAAGTTACACTAATGATATGGTATATTTAAGTAAAATGAACTTTCTTTTCTTAGCAGCAAATCACACAATTCTACCGCCATGCAACTTTTCCTGTTTTTTTTTTTTTAATTTGTTTTATTTTAAACGAGTCTAGCTTAAACCGTGACATAACATTAATTTGGAAAATATTTCTATATAGGTCACATCATGGTTTATTGATTTTAAAAATGTTTATAGAGAGTGATAAGCTTAATTTATTCCAAGTTTTATCTTATACTTACGACATGTCGGCATATCTAGGAGGAAAAAAGGAAAGTAATATTGTTAACAGAAAGCACCACTTGATTTTTTAATTATTCAAAAACAGTTGTCATGGAAACATTGGCATTTTCATAATCCAGGATGCGATGACAAGTGTGTTCGATGCTGTGATAGGTACAGTATATGTGATTAAAGAAATGGAGCCATTGGGATAAAAGAAAGAATAGTGGAAAAACTTTTATATCAAATTAGCAAAAAAAAAAAAAAAAAAAAAAAAAAAAAAAAAAAAAAACCAACATTATTTTCGCAATGAAAACTATCTAAAGTGTTCAATACGTTATAATTAGTATTCATTTCCGTTAAGATAATGCTGTCTTATCAAAAATGCACCATGGTGCACTTGCTTATTCTAGGCTCGCTGATTTATCGGATAAGAGTGCCTTTATAATATATTTCACTTTTGCTGAGGTCACCTTTTGCATAGCTTCAACCTGAAAACTGGGATGGCCTCTTTGCAACCTCACAAATGTGTCTGTCCAAATTGTTTGTATATAATAACTTTTGCTGACTCGGTGCGTCACAATTTCAGGATGATTAATCTTATTGAATATATACCATATATTTTTTATTCCTAAGGCCATAACTTTGCATACAGACAACAATTTGTTACATTGTTTAAAGTATTGGGATATTACATAATAAAAGTGGTCTTGTTTGGCAAAATCTCATACAATCGCTATTTCTTGTTGCCTTTTCTTTTGCTGTGAATGCTACTTTGAAAGTTTGTGGTACACTGGGATGAAGCAGACATAAAATTGATTTTTGCTGAGGTCATCTCTTGAATTATCCCAGGTCCAGGTTGAACCTAGCCAAATGGTGACCAAAAGAGAAAGCCTATTTCCACTTTGTTCCATGATCATGATTTATGAAGGCATGTGAAAAGAGCGCACATTTATTTATTTTTTTTTTAATTTACCCCTGTGTCAATAAAACAATGTTTGGTAGTGTCAAAGAAATCAGAAACACCACAAAGCAATAAAACATGTCTGAATGCCAGCCTCAAACGATCCTCCATGCTTTTTTATTTCAATGTATTTTTTGGTAAACATTGGTTCAGTCCAGATATCTCAAACACCTCAAAAGAAGTGGGTTTTGAAACACAAATTATGCCTCTTATTTCCAAAATAGTTCATGATTTAAGCAAAAATGCACTATATCCTTACCCTTCAAAGAGGGCCATGTGGAAGACAAGTGCACGCTTAGCATGTTTTATAACCTTTAAATTAGGTTCATTCTTTTTATCATTACCATGATTATTATTATCACAATAATTTTTTTTTTTTTGGGGGGGGGGTTCTAAAAGACTTTATCTTAAGATCACTTATATTTACATAAGTATTTTAAATAAAAAGGGCGAAAAAAACTAATACGCAAAATGAAGACCTTTATAGTGTTTATAACGTATCAAATCCCTTAAAGATAAAGCAGAAGCAGAAGCAGAATTATAAGCTTCTGTATAAAAATTGTATAAAGCGCATTGTTTTTTCACAAATGCTGAGTTGCGATTCACTTATCATTATGCGATGAAATTTAAAACAGCAGTTCTCACCTGGAACGCAGTTTTGGGAGTCTGGGTCAGAAGGGTCCATGATGAATCCTTCATCACACACACATGACCATTTATTTGGACAAGGTAAGGCTTTACCTTCTTCATTGGTCGTATTCTTGCAGTGTGTCATGTTGTTTTGTTCTGTCTTGCAACATCTCGAGTTATCCCCGCACACAGGTTGACTCTTGCGAGTTGCTGTAAAATAAGTTGGTCAATGAATGGTTTCATTCTAGGAAATAGTACTAGTAACAATGTTAATTGGAATATTTAGCTTTGTAAAACGTAAACTAAATACTATGAATCATTCATGTTTAAAAGAATAGAAGGCCAAGTCGTAGTCGAATAATAGTATTATGTTTATGAAACAGAGACTGATATAATGTTTCTCTTCCTAAACATAAACGAAAAAAAATTTCTTTTCACTGTGTAAACTTGTAAAGTACCATTTATAAATATTCTAAAGGTTTCACTACCTTATTGTTAGCGTACATGGTGCATTTGTTTTTTAGATTTTGAAATCAGTCGTAAAAATTCAAAACTGCCATTTTGATATTTAAAAAGGAGTTGACACTTACCTATAAAAGCACCATCAACTGCATACGCACATAGTAACAAAATGGACAAAAGAACAAAAGGCACCGGGCTGGTCATCTTCATGTTCAGTTCTGAAGCTGCTTCTGGAAAATTGTTGATGAAGTCAGGAAGAATGTGGATCCCTTGAAGGGCTAGAGCAGACTGAGCCTTATATAGGTTATTCCCAATGTTTGCCATTACTGTTTTAGAGATTTTAACCAATCATATACTCGGAAAATAACATTACATAAGGATATGTCTTTTGTCCTCTGTACTTCTAGACACGGTAAGTGTTAGTTGATAATATTGGAACTATTTTACATATAATCCTTCATGGCCTAACAGATGGTTACACAAGTGCTTTGGAGAATCTTTTTCTTTCTTTCTCTCCAATATTTAGTGCCATTACAAAAAGAGGAATATTTTAAAGGAAGATATTGGTTTATAAGATTGGAGATAGAATATTCTTTTAAACTTATCTCTTGAAATAATTGGTTTTAAAATTAAGCAAGATATGGTGTTAAGGGTGTTCTAAAGTCTTGTTAAATATGATTCGATGCGAGATATTTTGCCATGTCAAGGTAGAGTAAATAACTAGTCAAAGTTTGCCTTTATGACCTTCTATAGGTTTTAGAAATAGATATAGTTCAAAGGATTTTAAGTAAAGCATCTTCACAAGTACACACAAAAACAAACACTCTAGTATCTTCACGAAACAGTTCAGGGGGCTTTACTTTAAACGATGGACTTATTGATTATTAAGAGTGTACTGTAACGGGGCCGGTGCGGTTGTTTGGCGTGTGCGCGAGGTTCGTAAGAATGACACAACAGTCTAGGATAGGTTTCCCTATTAATACAGTTTATTACTTTAACCCGTTACATATACAGGGACATCTAGCTCAGGTAGGCACAGCGCTACGGTAAGACAGTGACCCAATCGTTCCCTCGATCTAGGCTCTGATTGACCCGGCCGTCCTCAGTCCTCAGTCTCCCTCTCGTGCTCTCGTCGTTGCTGGTCACTCTGACGTCCCTGGGATCGGTCTAGCGTTAGTTCTCCGGTGTAGAAATCGGGAGGCCCTTTATACTGAATTTTGAGGGTGAGGTCACTGTTTACCGTGCCTGATGGTGACAGGATAATTCTCTTTATATAAACAGTTACTAGTTATACTGGCTACTTGGCCTTAAACTTCTATTCTATATTACGCTCGTTGATAAAACAATACTTTCACCCGTAATTGATGATTAATAAACATAATACTGGGCGCTTACTATAATACGTGTGCGGCCCTTCGAATGTATAATCTCATAAGGCTCGATGGTCACAATTGCATCTTCAGTTAAGGTAGCACCGTCCAACACCGACTTTCAAGATAGCTTAAGATTTCTCTGTACCTTTGAGAGATTAAAGGATAATCACTTGGAATTGCTCTTGCAGAAAATCCGAGATAAAAATAGAGATGACAGCGGTGTGACTAATATATTCACAGGAAGCCAGGTGTGGCATTGGTCTATTACACAGAAGTTTTAATTACTAAATGTTATGTAAAAGCTCATCTTGCTACCAACTGCGTTACATATTTATATGAAAAGTTTCAAAATACTGAAACAACATAATATGTCAAACACGTGATCGATGACGTTGTATTTTAAATGTACAAAAAGCAAGTTATTTAACGTCCATATATTCCACCCATCCAACTTGCACACACATCGTTATATACAGATTTACACTTTATTTTTCAAAAAGACACCAAAATTTCATGAACAGCTGTATGTCAAGTCAACAAATAACCTATCTAAATTCTTTAAAGCAATAATAACTCTTACTTTGAGATTCAAAATTCCGCAAAAAAATTTTTTTTTTTATTGCAATAGAAAGAAGCAAGTACATAAATTTTACAAGCACACAATATTCATTACAATACCGAAGTCCACAAGGATTTAACGTATAAAAAATTACAGTCAATAATTTGTATACATGCAACTAGACAAATCCATATATACCTATCCATTTCTGCCATATAACATTGAATTTATCTACGTCTTGAGATACAATGTATTTTTGCTTATAGATTTTGTATATATTTTCTAGGTAAATTCGAAGTTTTGTGAGTAACAGTGTCTTTCTGACATTTTGTTTTGTATATGAAAAACTTAATATGTATAGTCATGATTATATTGGATACATTACGTTCATTAATGTCAATTAAAATAAACTGTATATTATTGAAATTTAAATATATATTACAAGAAATTAACCATGCTTCTACTTGGCGCAAGAAATTTTGTACAATATTGCAATCCCAAAGTATATGATATATAGTTTCTACCTCCTCGTGGCAAAATGTACACATAGGTGATTGAGATAGGCCAGTTTTATTTACAAAGTTATTTGTGGTGAGGATTCTATAGAAAATTCGAAACTGGAACCACAGCATTTTTGTGTCCTTTACCGACACATTGGTTTTCTTATATATCTTTTCCCAAAAATTATGATCCCGAGGAGTAAGAATATTTGACCATTTTTCCTCAAAAGTAGGCCTAGTATTCGAGCTATTTAATATGTCGTACATATCTTTTGAGCCCCTTGTTTGTCTAACAATAACTCGTATACTTTCTGGTTGCCACGGACCGTACCTTTTGATTTTATGCGGATTTTCATTTTTTCTGTATAGATCTTTTATTGTTTCGATAATACCATTGTATTGTAAAAAATTGATTTTGATATTGGCGAGTTCAGAAAATTCCTTATATGAATATAGTCTACCTTTTTCATTGATAAGATCGTTCACTTGTCTATATCCTTTGTCATACATCTCTTTATGGAACAGCGTCTCTTTATTTATCCTCAAAGAGTCATTGTACCATAACGGGATTCTATTCAATTCAGTCATTTGTTCTTTTTTTTTTCAACAATTCCCGCCAAGCTAAAAAAACATCCTTCCAAAATAAATTCTGTGTGCCTGTTTGACAGAAGCGCAAATATTCACAACCACAGTTTAGCATCAAGTCTAATTTATATCTATGCAAAAGGATATTTTGCCAAATACCCTCCGTATTTATCAACCGTCTCACCCAAGTTAATTTTAATGCCATTATTGAAGCTTCTACATTTATCATATTTAGTCCTCCATCTTTTATTTTTATACATACTATTTCCCTTTTTACTTTATCCGGTTTACCTTTCCAAAGGAATCCAAAGATTAGCTTTTTTAGCTCCTTAATTATTTGGTTAGATGGGTTAGGCAGTGAAATAAAAAGATGGTTAAATTTCGATATTATGAGACTTTTTATCACTGTAATTCTGCCGACGGGGGTCAAAATTCGTCTTTCCCATAGTTTAAGTAATCGTTCAGTACTTTCAATTTTTCCCCGATAATTCCTTTCACATATAGTATCTAGTTCAACATAGAATTTAATTCCTAATAATTTAAAAGACGTTGCACCCCATATTAATGTCCAATTTTCTCACAGTTTCTCATTTGAATTCTTTTTACTCCCTATCCAAATAACCTGAGTCTTGTCATAATTTATTTTTAAACCCGAAATTTTTTCAAACCATCTTAGATCCTGTAGGGAGGCGTTAAAGGACTGTTCAGAACCATCTTAGATCCTGTAGGGAGGCGTTAAGGGACTGTTCAGAACCATCTTAGATCCTGTAGGGAGGCGTTAAGGGACTGTTCAGAACCATCTTAGATCCTGTAGGGAGGCGTTAAGGGAC